ATTAGAAAACGTTAGTTCTACGACTTTTGGAAAAACCCGCTAGTTTAGCGGAAAATCCAAAAAAAAAAGACAGATTTAAAATGCTTATAGTATCTAAAGAACTAATGCTACAGACACGTGCTGTATATCTCAGAAAAGATAATTTAATTCGCTAAATACCCTTTATATAGTAAACTTGTCTGAATATAATAGATTTCGAGTTATGACAAAAAGTTACTTTTTAAACCACTTTTTGACTATTTTCTCAAAATTGAGTTGAGAATTACTGTTGCGGGCCGAAATCATAAATGTAATATAGATTATTTATTTTATCGAATGTAATATCATTTTTCGTCACAATTGTTGGTATCAGAAATTTTTGTTAAAGGCGCATTCGCCACTGCTTTTTACCTCGTTAAGAGGTGTTTTTGTTTGATATGTATATATACCAAATATGTATATATTGATTAGAATCAGTAGATGATTTGATACAGCCAAAATCGGTTTGTCCTTCTTTTTTAATATCGTTTGCGAGTTCGGTTGTAAAACTGTGGATTCAAAATTTTCCCAATAGTCATTAAAGATGCCCCAGAAGTTGTTTTAAAACGTGCCTGATCGGACGTTTATGTTCTATATAGTATAAAAACATTTACGGTGGTGTATTTATTTATTCGAGTGTACAAACATTTTTCGTCACAAAATGTAACATTTATAAGCTTTAGCTGTGACTACTCGATTCGTCCGGTTCTCAAAGTCTCGAATAAATCACTTCTGATCACTTCCACGCAAATGAGACAAAACGCACTCGAAGAAAATAATTCGATTATGAAATATTTTTATTTTTATTAAATAATATATAAAAAAGTTTATCTAATTAAATAATTACATTTTAATTATTTTTAAGACCAGTCCCAAAACTAGTTTTCCTCGATAGCCTTTTCGGAGCCCAAGACTCTGAGCTTGCACATTAATTAAAGGCGACACATTTAATTGCGGCATATGTTCGAGGACCTCTCCGGAACAATATGCCCCGTGGAGCCATTGAATGGCCGCAGAAGCCACCAGAACAGGCTGACATATTGCACAAAGGCCGCCGACCAATGGGTTACTTATTGATCTGAAAGCGACCGCCGCTGGCAAGGACGAACTGCCGGCAGGACTCTGCTTATCGGAGCGCTATCTCCGCTCAGCAAACCGGTGCTCAGCAAACCGCGAAATCGAATCCGTAGATCAAGCGAACGAGTGAAAAAATAAAACTGATTCAACTCGCTAATAAATGAAAGGCAGCCCAAATGTTTGCAATTGCTTTGACATGTTTGACAACAATGGCGAACGGAGGCCGGACGCGGAAGGGGCGCGACTTAAGCCGCTGCCAAATGCGATTGCCCATAGAAATGGAAAACCCAACCCTTAAGTCGCGTCCTGCGAGGTCCTCTGGGCCTGGGCATTTGCATTGATTTCAATTAATTTGCTTGTTGTGTCATCTCCGATCCTTTGCCGTGTTGTTCGGATTGCTGGCTGTAATTGATATTTGGCTCGGTTGGGATTTCGGGCTGGTGCGAGTCAAGTGCCTGCAACCCCTCGTTCCAAACCCTTCCCCGGTGGAAATTATGTAAATGCCAAACATGCATTAGAGGCCAGCGGACCCCTCCGCCCCACCTCTAATCCTGGTCGGAATTATTCAGGCGGATAACTTCTGTGCCGTCTTCGCTCAGCTGGGCGAATTTCCGCGATTCCTCGGCTGCAGAGGATGCGCCGGGGTGACAACAGCCAACTGTCACTGACAGCTTCACTGCCATCCGCCAGGACAACAAGGTGTTTGTCCTTTGCCAAGAGGATGAGTCAGCGGCATTGACATTCACAATCGCATTCGCACTCGCATTTCCCCAGTGCTTTTAGTTTTGTGAATTTCAAATGCCAGGACATCTGTTCGAGTGTTCCGGGGATCAGACCCAATCCTCAAGCGGTTTTAATGCGCTTAGTTTTGAAAGTGTACCTAAGTGGCAGGGAGCTTGAAGAACTGTGATTCGATGAAGAGTGCTGCCTCACACTTAAGTTCCCATAATTGCGGCCATTTGAGTGTCCAACCTAGAACAGTTTAAAGAGTGTGACTATTATTAGTGGGTGCCAGTTGGCCGTGCGTGTGAACACCGAATCAGGCTGTAATGAATCGTTAATGAGGATCAATCGATGCGTCTGTCCTTGGATGATTTTTTGAGGGCTTCAAATATTTATACTCCACTTGGCATTTATTTATAAAATTCTTTGGGCTTGGGTTAATCGGTTTAAAAGTTGTACCTTCGCAGGGCTTTATATTCCACAAAGTTTTCCAGCAGCAACTTTCTTTGGCTTCCATTTCGGGCTGCCTGTTAATTGTTAATTGGCTGCATCGATTGTTAATTGTTCCAGTTGTTGTTGGTGGAGACCTGATTGGGGGCATTGTGAGTGAAAAGTTTCGAGTGCTTTCGTCTGGCCAAAGTTGGCGGCGAAACAAAGGGAGCTTCGCTTGCGGATTGATTGGTTGGTGAATTAATTACGTGGATTGCGCAAGATTACATAATCCCCCGTGGCCGTTCATCCCCAATATCCGACTAGTCTTGAAGTTTTCCACACACACACCACTCGTCCCCCAAGTAATGCCCAATTTCGGCCCGAAAATGTTCCGTTGATAATCCTGAAAAATAGAATCCTATTCGGAGCTGTCCCCAGTGCCCTCGCAGGCCCATTTCCATTTCCATTTTCCATTTCCAGCCATTGCCCGTATATAGTATACAGTTTTTATTTATTTTGCTTTTAACAAAATTTGGCAAATTTACACTTCGCTGGCAGGGAAACAAACAACAACAAAGGCATCCCATCCCAGTCCCGTCCCACTTTCAGGGCAGCCTGATTGCGCCATAGCCCCATAAATAAGGGCAACATTCAATGCAAATTGGACTATTTACGCAAATTTTATTGCCACACAATTTTTACACATTTATTTTGTTTTTGTTGCCGCTAGTTTTCTTCGCCACATGGAGACGCAAATGCTTTATTCCTTTGTTGCTGCCAATACTTTGTTGCCTCTGCGGAGTTGGTGCCCCAAGCGACTACTAAATCAGGCCATTTGGACGCTGCTTCCTTGACTTTTTCTGGGGCGACAATTTGGTTTCTTTGTTGTGTTGTGTTGTGGGCCTCACCCCACGACGAACCCTTTCTGCCTCGTCGAATTATGCGATTTTGTGTCATTATTCCCTCGCTAAACGAGGCAAATTTCCCCAAGCCATCAGAAATCGTTGGGTGGCCGAATGTGTTTTTTATTGACATTTAGACGCGTCGCAGATTTGCCCCGGCTTCAACGAGTTGATTCCAGTTGGCCTGGCTGTGTCATAAAGCCGCCTACGGTGGGGATTTACCAATAAATTCGTTCTAGTGAAAATTTATTGGCATTGCTTTTTAAACCGCGACGCGTGTTGCCCCCAGAATTTTTATCTCCAGGAAATTGACATTGATGGCCTGGCTGCGAGCGAGTGGAACTGACCTTTAAAGCGGAATATGTTTGCGAAGAATACCGATGGGGTAATTGTTCGGACGTAATCGATTGATTGGGGCATAAAAGAGTAGAAATTGTTCGAGATTGGTTTAGCTTTGCGGTTTAAAATAAAAAAAAAAACGAACCAGTATGGGATTCTGTGGTGCAAGAACCTATTAAAATAGGGGAGTGTGGGATAAGGTGACGAGTAGGGTAAGGTAACGAACTCGTCAAATCTTATAAGTGGCGTCACGTCAAAAATTCCAACTAACTGTAGTTAAATTTGTATTCCATTGTATAAACAAATTTTCACCTTTTCTTAAAGAAGAAATTAATACTTTTCACATCCGCAAAGTGTTTTATAATGTTTTTATCAGTACGTCACCAAGCCCTACAACTTTAAAAAGTGGTAAAAATATTGGTTTACGCCAAGAGCTGTAGTATTTAACTGCACTGGTATTTTTCCATCGAACTTTTACAGGAATATGCTTAATTGATGTCAGCAACTTTCTGCTGTTAAACCTTTTTAAAAATATTAATTCTTGGAAATGTGGCATTCAAAAATCGAATCGATTTTAAACTAACGACTATAACAATGAACTGTGTCACTACAAATTGCAAATACTGTTATCTTTCGATAAAATAGTCAGTCCTATATCAGTTTTTGCCAGGACACGACGCTAAGGACGTGTTTCACCATGCAGACACTGAAACGCACGTACATCAGGGCCAAAAATTAACAGAGTTATTAGCTCGTTATCTTTCGCACTTCATATTTACACAGTTGGCTACCAAAAGCCGAGCAAATCAGTGTGAAAGGCAACCGAAAAGCCGAAAGGGGGCCAATACGCCTGCCCCTCCCCCGATGAGCAGTTTACCCCTAATTTTGTCGCTTGTGTTGCTTAAAATTCAAACAATGTGTTGATGCCTTCACACCAACCAAAACATGCATAATTAATATGCAAAGAGCGGCAACAACAACTACAACCACGGGCAGGAGCTGCCGGCAAGGAGGAACTTTTCCGAGCGGGCTGCTTGTGGAAAATTGAAAGGGTTAGCATAATTTTTTGTGGGCAGCGGGGAGGCGACACTCTGATTTTCCCTGCTTCATTATCACAGCTTCCGCGTCAACATTATTTCCGCAAAACAGCAACAGCAATGTGGCAAGGGGGTGGGGGGTGCGTTGTTGTTCTTGTTATTGCCATGCATAATTCATATGAGAAAAGCAACAATAGGCGACAACGATGGGCGGAGGAAAAGTGAAAACCTCAAACCTTTGCGAGGCGGCAGTGAAAATGCTTTAATTGAAGCGAGCACACACAGACACACAATCACTCATTTGCATATTTCAATGCATGCAATTAGGCCCAAGGGGGCGGGGGTGGGAGTGGCGGGCGTTTAGCGGAGAAAGCAGCAACTGTCGTGACATGGAAAAAGTTTAGCCCCTTTCAGCCACTTCCTTGTTCTCCATCCCCCCATTCTAACGCTTTTCGGTTCTCTCTTCTTTCAGCCAAATCCCGGCATTTCACGGTCAACGGTCTTCTGAGTGCCAATAACACGCTCCAGCAGCAGCAGAACCAATACAACCTGCAGCCCTCGAATGACAGTCGTAACATCTACAACAATCCCTATATACCGCCGCAGCAGCAGCAGCAACAGCAACAGCAGCAACAGCTGCAGCAGCAGACGCAGCAGCGCACCGCCCACCTGTTCAAGGCCCTGGCTGCCTCCGCTGGCGGCACCAACAGCCTGACCCATCCCTACGACTTCTCCAACTCATCCTCCTCCTCCAACGCCAACAACGAGCACCAGGGATCATCCTCGTCGGAAGCGGAGAACGCCTTCCTAACTCATAATAACGGTGAGTAGCTCTCTTTTTGTATGTCAGACTCCTTATATTGAAAAATGGGAACATCCTACAAGACTTAGTTCACACTCAGAGAAAAAATGTAGCTTCAAAACTTCGCCAGGCATAGAAAATCCCAGTCCCGAAAACAAAGTAAAGCTTTCAAGTACGAATTTTTCAGACAGCATGTACTCGATTTCAGTAAGTTTTAAGAACCTTTCGGTCTACAATCAAGTATGAATAATTCTTAAGTATAGTCATATTTGTACTAAAAACAAGGAAGAACGCTATAGTCGAGTACCTCGACTATCAGATACCCGTTACTCAGCTATATGGAGATATGCAAGCAGCAAAGCGAGATTAAAATGCGCCACCTACCGGCGGTATACAGATTTAAGCGTTATGGGCGTTAGAGTGGGCGTGGCAAATTTTTTTTAGGATCAATCGATAGGTATCGACGAGACCAATACATTTCAGTTAAAATTTTTTATCTAGCATGAAAATTGTGGGCGTCACAGGTTTTCGCGGTTTGTGGGCGTTAAAGTGGGCGTGGCAAACTTTTTTTGGGTCAATCGATAGGTATTGATGAGAACAACACATTTCAGTTAAAATTTTTATTCTAGCATCAAAACTGTAGGAGCCACAGTTTCGGGCGGTTTGTGCGCGTTAGAGTGGGCGTGGCACTGTGACGAAACAAACTTGCTCTGCGTAAGAAGCTCAGGAATCTGCACGACAAATCTCAATAGCCTAGCTCCCATAGTTTCCGAGATCTCAGCGTTCATCCGGACGGACAGACAGACGGACAGACGGACAGACGGACAGACGGACATGGCTAGATCGACTCGGCTAGTGATCCTGATCAAGAATATATATACTTTGTGGGGTCGGAAACGCTTCCTTCTGCCTGTTACATACTTTCCGACGAATCTAGTATACCCTTTTACTCTACGAGTAACGGGTATAACAAGTACGATTTATGAACTAAAGACGAAATAATTCTTAAATCAATATACGTATTTTGTAAATGTTTATTGGGTTTTCATGCGCTGACCAATGATCGTTTTATGAAACTTTTTGATAAGCTTATGAGCGTAGTTGCTGATTTTAAAGAGTTTAAGGCGGACCTTGATAATAAAAAAATGTCAGTAGGGTCACCTAAACGCAAAAAGACCGCTCTTTCAAAATCTGCTCCCGTAAAGGCATCAGTTCCAAATCCCAACTTAGCTCCAAATATTTGTACCCGATCGGTAACGGCAGCTATGTCGGCATCTACTGGGTCTGGGGGACCTAAAGTTTCTCTGACAGCAGTACCCATAGGTACCAAAAGCTCTGGAGGAGTCCCTGTTTCTGCTAGTCAGACTAAGGGGTCAAACCCTATGCAGCTTTCTGTGCCTACTGGTGAAGTTAGCTCTATAGGAGTCCCTAGTCTTGGTAATCAGACGAACGATGTTCAGATTGCAAATGGTGGAAGAAAGAGCCTCTCGGTTGTTCCATATAGGAAGCAATTATTTGTGTCTCGTTTAACACCTGAAACCACATCTGCAGATGTTTTGGAATTTATACAACAGGAATTCCCATCTCAAAACATCACAGTGGAGGAGTTTAAATTTCCATATGTTCGTATGATATCTTCATTTAAAATATCTGCTCCTCCGGAAGTATTTAATGTACTAAATTCTAAAAGTTTTTGGCTTAATGATGAATTGGTCATTAAAGAATTTGTTCCAAACAGACGGAGAACTAATAATAGGCCTTCCACGACTGTACCTGCGCCAAAAAACTGAGCAGCTTATTTTTGGCCTATCAAAATGTTAGGGGACTCAATATGAAACTACCTAAGCTTTATGCTGACTCCTCTGCCTTTTCTGAAGACATTCTGGCCTTTACTGAGACTTGGCTGAAACCGGAGATATCAGACTCCGAAGTTCTGTCTAAAAATTTTAATACGTATAGAACTGATCGCTCTCCTCGTAGGGGGGGTGGGGTGCTGGTTGCCGTTACCTCTACTTTATCATCGGAGAGAATATACTTTCTTAATCCCAATGACATAGAATTCGTTGGTGTTAAAGTTTCTTTGAAATCTTTTTCTATTTAAGTAACTTGTTCTTATATTCCACCTGGATCCGACTTAACAATTTATGAGCAACATTCGTCTGCAATAAAAACTGTTTTATCTCATATTTCCGAAAGGGATCTTTTAATTGTTTTGGGTGATTTCAATCTCCCTGACATTTCTTGGTCCCTTTCCACTGACTCACTTGTCTCTACCCCTTTATCTGACCATGACTTCGTTGCCGGTCTGTTAGAATTATCATTACAGCAAGTTAGCTTTATACGTAATTCACTAAACAGACAATTAGATCTAGTATTTGTTTTAGATCCGTCTGAAGTCACTGTATCTAGAATTGACCCACTAGTTGTGCCTGAAGACCAGTATCATCCCACATTAGAACTTACAATTTGTCTTCCCAGCGTTGATACCCTCTCTCCTTCACTTTCTCCAAATAAATGTAGATGCTTTCGTAAATGTGACTTTAGTAAACTCAACAACTTGATTTCACAATATAACTGGACAAATTTATATAATTGCTTGGATATTGAAAGTGCTACGGAACTATTTTATAGTGTCCTAAACTCTTTTTTCAGTGAATGTGTTCCTGACAGTTTTCCTCCTAAGTTAGACAGGCCACCTTGGTTTACCAATCAGTTGCAAAGACTTAGAAACCTAAAAACGAACTTCTATAAAAAGTACAAAAAGTCGGGTAGGCCATCCGATTTTTCAAGATATGTGGTGGCTCGTACTAATTTTAATGTACTTAACACTCATTGCTATTCCATGTATTTGAACCAATGTAAATTTGAATTTTCAAAGGATCCGAGGAAATTTTATAACTTTGTCAATGCTAAGCGAAAGTCTTCAGCATTGCCATCATCCGTACGATTAAACTCTATTGAGGCATCTACGGATCCCGAAATTGCAGATTTATTTGCTGAATTCTTCCAATCTACTTATAGTTCTGTTTCATGGTCTAATTCTAGCTACCCTAATCACTTAAACAGGGCAAATTGTATTTTTTCTCCTGTAATCACCGAGAGTTCTCTCTTAAGGGATTTAGAAACTATAACGCCAACCTATTCTCCGGGGCCAGATGGACTCCCTGGGTGTGTTCTTAAGTTTTGTGCCCGAACTATTTGTAAACCCATTCTTAAACTTTTTAATTTGTCTATCTCATCATCTGTTTTTCCTACTATCTGGAAAGATTCTTTTATTATTCCACTCCACAAAAAGGGTGCGAAGGTTAATGCTCAGAACTATAGAGGAATCTCCAAATTGTCTTCAATTCCTAAAACATTTGAACGCATTATTACCTCTCAGTTGCAACATTTGTGCTCCTCTTTAATATCGCCGTGTCAACATGGTTTTGTTAAGCGTAGATCGACCACCACTAACCTGCTCGAATTGACATCTTTTGTACTAGATGGATTTAACAAAAAATTACAGATGGACGTTATATATACAGATTTTAGTAAAGCCTTTGACTCTGTTAACCACTCTCTTCTTTTATTCAAATTAGATCTGCTTGGGTTTCCGAATAATCTGTTAACTTGGATTTCAAGTTATTTGAATGGTAGATCTCAGAGGGTTTTATTCAAAAACGCTGTTTCCAAGATGATCAACGTGACATCTGGAGTGCCTCAGGGCAGTCATTTAGGCCCTTTGTTGTTTACTCTGTTTATAAATGATCTTCCTTCTATCGTAAATCACTCTCGTGTACTAATGTATGCTGATGATGTTAAGCTTTGTTTTTCATATAATAACATTGAATCTGGTTTCTGCTTGCAGTCAGACTTAAATAGATTCCAGGAATGGTGTCAGTACAACCTTTTGAATTTAAACTATCTTAAATGCAACGTTATGACTTTTTATAGGGGTACGCCAACGTTCATGAGTTACTCTCTTCAGAACATGTCCTTGGACCGAATATACTCAGTAAACGATTTAGGTGTTCTCCTAGATCCTAAACTTAAATTTGACTCCCACATAACCTCTACTGTAAATAAAGCTATGAGTGTTCTTGGGTTTATAAAGCGTTGGTCTAAAGAATTTGATGATCCATACACTACCAAATTATTATTTACCTCACTTGTCCGACCTAATTTAGAATACTGTTCTTCCGTTTGGAGTCCTCAGTATCAAGTGCACATTGACCGTATAGAGTCCGTACAGAAACAATTTCTTCTTTTTGCCTTACGTGGTTTGAACTGGGATCAAAACGTCAGGTTGCCTTCTTACTCGAGTAGATTGCTATTAATTAATTTGCCTACTCTAGTAAGCCGTAGAATTATGCTTGGTACTATTTTTATGAATAATCTTATCAGAGGCGATATTGATTCTGTAGATTTGGTAAGCCGCCTAAGTTTCAATGTTCCTGTTAGACTAATGCGAAACTACCATCCTATTAACTTGCCACGATGTTCATCTAATTTTAGTCAGCATGAGCCCTTTCGCGTTCTTTCTAATAATTATAACAACCTGTATCATTTAATTTGTTCCTCAACTTCTATCCCTGTACTAAAAACTAAAATCTTAGCTCATTTGCTTTAATCTTGTTGATCTATGTTTTGACCTGTCTTTATTTGTTCTATGTACCTTCCTCGCGAACCGTATTTGCCCGAAATAAAAATGGGCCCGCGCGTAACAAGCACGTGCTTGGTGTCGTTTGGGCCACTTGTTTGTACTGCTCTTAGTGCATCAACGTTCAACAATAAATTCATTATATGCTAGTATGAGAAATAAGTATTGGAAACTGAAAATGAAAAAGACTAGATATATCTAACTTACATTAATATTGTACGTTTACTTACGACTTGCCCCTAACGGGCATTAACACTGCGTATCTTATGCGCCTTATGTACTGAGCACTTTGAGAATAAACAGTTGGGAATTATTAGAGTTGACAGGTATTTAAATCCAAAATTTGCTCAATGTAGTAACGTTTACAATACGATCGGTA